GACGGCAAGTGGCGTCATCTATTTCCTGTGTCAAATGTACTCGTCAGACAGTCCATTTAGCCGTCATTGCTATGACCAATAAGCACAAAAAAACGAATGTGAACCAAAGGAAACAAAGTAAACAGGCCGCTTTGACAGCTTCGAGGAACTCCGATAGATGACGTGGAAATTACGTATGATACGCCAACCTAAAAACAAAAAATGTCAAAAATCTAGTGTTTATCCCCAGAATTGAATAAGGATGGAACTATATAACTGTTTCACAAACACTTTAGAGTGAGAGGAGACGAGGATCTGTCCGTACCCTGTTAAGATGACTTCAACGTCAATTTCTATCAAGGTAGGATCCTTTGATGGAAATTGACGTTAAAGTCATCTTAACAGGGGTATGTTCCGTAAATCAACTTGGTTATGTCGGTTAGTAGTTTCCCGTTCCGTAAATATGAAATGTTCGGTTGGTTCCTGAAAAGAGGGTATTTACGGAACTCGGTTGCTGAAAAAGCGGTAGAACCACTGTCACCAGAACGACCGTGGATTTTATCTGGTAAGTTCGGTGAATTTGCGTTGACGTTGACGTGTTTTAGTTTTCGGTTTGATTTTTCGATTTACCAATTATTAATTCATTATTGCGTTGAGTTCCGATGGATTCATTCACTGAAATAAATTAAGAATATTCGATATATTTTTAGTTTGATGACTTTTTTTCTAATTTTTAGGACACTTATGCCTTGCTTGTGCTTACTGTGCACAAGAATTAGATACTTATGGGTTCCATAATTGAAAATCAAATACTGGCAGAGCATGAGTTTTTAAAAAAACGATCAAAACTATAATTTGGCAAATGAAGTTCATTGGCATTCCGTAAATAAGCCTCAAACGTAGTCACCAGTAGATAACCACTGTCAAAATTAGGTGCGTTCGGTTTAACAAAATCGGAGCCGAGCGAGCAGATGCAGATTTGGTGTCACGTGATCACCTAGCAGATAGAGCTTAAGATATTTAACGAACGCTCAACGAGGTAGTAGATTGCGTGCGCCATCTGTCAGAAGTAACAGAAAACAGAAACAATTCACTTAATCTTATTACTTTTGAAAACACGTCAGGACAACAAAGTTCCTTTGAATGTTTGTTGTTTATATTTTGAAAATTACTAGGGAAGGAATGATTCTGTCTCATATATGATCGGTCATTAACTGTGGATCCAGGGCAGTTGTGATCGCATATATTACAGATATATAATTAATATGCTACCTACAGCAAATTCGTCGGTCATTCTGGCGATTCTGGGCAAGGAGGATTCTACAAAATTCAGTTTCGTGTTTCGTTTCCAGTTGATCGAGTCTTTAATTTTTCGACGCAAAAGAGATATATAATTTCAATAACATGTTGTTGACATTGATTTGTTGACAACTGACAACCGAATAACCGATTAAATCTGAATAATCTGCTCCTCAAGGCGGAGCAAACAGATTACATCTTTTAGCTCGCTCTGACAATTAACGAACACGGAGCAGATTAGACAGAGGAAGTAGATCTGATTTATCGAACGCTTTCCGAGCTAACAGATGGAATCGAGCTAACAGATATGTTATAACCGAACGCACCTATTGTTGGTAACGACGACCCATCGGTAACTTCGGTTGATTAACGGAACATACCCGGTACGGATACAGATCATAGCTGCATTCTTTTTTAATGATCTAGAGATTTTAGTTTTGTCTACTGGCATCCCTGACATTGCTGTCACGTCACATCCATGGGCGCAACAGAAAATCAATCAAACTTTTAATGATAGGTATGTACAGGGTATTTCCTTGTTGAGGAAGATCATATGGCGAATGATTTTCGTAATTATGATCCGATTCTTGGTATGTGGGGTTTTCCAGGGTTGGAGATGATTGTTTTGTCAAACTTGGAAAATTCAAGATGAAGGATACAATATATAGCAAAAGAAATTTCTAATTATGATCCGATTCTATTCAAGATTGGTATCTGAGAGTTTTCGGGGTCGCACTTCATGATTTTTTGTCAAAATTGGGAAATTCAAGATAGCGGATCCAATATGGTGAACGAAACTTGTAATTATGCTCCGATTCTATTCGAAAAATCAGAATTGGTATCTGGAGATTTCCGGGGTCGGAGATTATAATTATTTCGTCAAAATTGGGATATTCAAGATGGCGGATCCAATATGGTGGACGAGTTTTGTAATGATCCAATTCTATTCAAAATTGGTATATCTGGGGGTTTTCGGGGTAGGAGATAATGATTGTTTCGTCAAAATTGAAAAATTCAAGAGGACGGATCCAATATGGCGAAAGACATTGGTTTATATAATTATTACTTTACCACAAATAGGAAAAATGTAGGATGCAAGAGTGAAAATAACGTGCCTATCAGTTATACTGCGTATACTCAGCGTATACCTACTTCTTTGTTACTTTCATCAATGAATTATTCGAAAATGACATTTCATTTGAAAGAGACGGAAAAATCATATGTATAAGATGGGGGTGGAGTATATTCTATTCTTTATTTTCGTGCACATTTTACGAATTAATTTTTATCAGCCTACTTTTCGTCCTAGACAAAGTTTTATACATAGTGTGATATTGGTTACTCCATAAATTCTTCTCCGAGTTGAATTTCTGAAAATATATTTAGCACACATGACATGAGTATAGTAGTCTAGATACCCACATCGAGGTTTCCACCATTTCTCAATCATAAGGCTCAGCTCATTCAGCTCATAGATAAACTACTGCTCAGCTTGAAATCAGAATTCATTCAGTCAATTCAGTCAACCCTTGTATACAGTCTAAGAACAGTCTCTTTTGGTGAAATATATTAAGTTTTCAGTACAATTTATACGTTCCCTAAATCGCAAAGATTATGCTGGAGTAGTGAAGTCTAAAACTAGAGAATTGTTCATCTATATCTTGATATATAGTTGAATCAGGAATTCCATATGGAAATTACGTATGATACGCCAGTGACCTCAATATAACCTAAAAAACAACACATGTCAAGAATCTAGTGTTTATCCCCAGAATTGAATAAGGATGGAACTATATAGCTGTTTCACAAACACTTTAGAATGAGAGGAGACGAGGATCGAGGATCTGTCCGTACCCTGTTAAGATGACTTTAACGTCAATTTCCATCAAGGGACCCTATATCAAGGGACTCTACCTACTACGAACGCAAAAGAAAAATGAGAAATGTTTACGTTCATAGATCATGGCCGCACTCCACTTCTTTAATGTGACCTTTTGATAACCTTTTAGATTTTCCGCAGCATGGCAGCATGCTACTAATTGAATAACTGGCGAGAGACGTTTGTCTACGACGCGAAAACTCGCAGTGTTGCCAGACGAAAGAAAAACTGATTGTACTGAAGTCAATATCGAATTGTACTAAAACCAGATAAAATGTACCAGACATGTGATTTTGAAAGAATCGATGAGAAAATTGATGAGCAATGTTCTTTATTTTTCATTGCCAGAAATGACAACATCATAGCATAGGTATATAAAAAGACGAAGAATTAAGGAAATGGCAAAATAGAAAAATGTTCTATCAGGTACATAGCCAAGAAGGTACAAAATATATGTTACAACAAACAACAATATTATCCATCATAAAAAATCACTACTTATGTTATTTCAAAAAAATTTGAAAAAAAAACATCATCAGGTGCACAATAGTCGAAAAAATACAAGATATATCATATACATCCTTGAAAGATGACTGTAGGTACATCAAATATGAAAAAAAAATTATCTGAGTGTACGGACCATATATCTACTATTTCGAGATATATGGACTAAACCATGAAATTGTACCAGACTTGGGTGGAATTCACTAATGTACTGATGGATATGAGTTGTACTAAATCCATACAAATGTGACCCTGGCAACATACTGACGAAGAGGCGCGTTCCACAATCGTATAATCCTTCAGGGTGGATATCTCTGGTTGTACTCCAGTTGCGTTTCGGGTATGAAGTTGGTTGACTAGCAGACTAAAGTTGAAAGTTGCATGTTAGTGTGGGAAATTCGGGAAATAAACAAATAATATTTGAGGATATTATCGCCCTATTTCAGATCTCTAGAAACCATTCAGATATATTCCGGTTATTTCGATTTTGAATCAAAACCAACTTCAAACTATTTTTTATCACATTTTGATATTTCAATTTTTTTCTCGGTTTCTGAGTTTCGAGAAATGTATAACGAATAAAAGGCGTGCGTGTTTTTGGAATGAAGCAATCGTATATTTGATAGTGAAATTGATCGTTAATGCTGTTAATTTCTGTCTCGAATCGTTATATTTTAGCAATATAAATATCTTGATCATTCGAGAATTAAACATGTTGTTATTAACATGCCATAATTTTTGTCTGAAAGTTTTTCCTAAGTCATCATTCTGGTTCTCAGTGATTTTTTGTTCGGTTGCTTTTCAGTCAATCTACAGTTATAGTTATCAACGTTATATACAATGCCGATATGTAGCAAATCCCGGATGGGGTTAAATATTTTAATCCAAAGAGCAACCGAGGATTTTAACAATCAAATCCGAACACAATTATTATTCCTCAGCTATATTTTAAAAGCTATTTATATATCAAGGGAGCAAAAGTATCCATTTCCTCTCAAGATATAGATACGATTTTATCCACGAACGCATATATTTGCGAGAGTGTCGTTCCTGAAATTGTCTCTTGAGTCTCGATCCGAATCAATGTTGTTACATGATCAAAGGTTGCAAACAGTATTTGAATCTGAACGAAAATCAATTTGACACTTCTGTTCGTTTGTATTGCTGGAATTGCTCAAGTTGATCATATTTCTGTAGTTGTCTCTGTCCATGGCATGATGTTAACAGAGGAAATCGTTGAAAAAAATCGAAGAAAAAAATCAAGAGTGGATCTGAGATCGAGCGAAGTCTATAAAACGGCAACATTGCAATTTACACCTCGTGCTCTGTTTGCTTTGTGATGAGGGCTCCCTCTTGACATCTGACACTGACGTAGTGACGTGCGAATCGTGCGATTTGTGCATTTGTGCGGCCATTAAAAACTTCTCAACTGAACAACATCCTCGACAACATCCTTTCTTCCTGGTCCTTTCGCTAGTATTTACCGGCGTCAGTTATAAATCACGTGAATTTCTCTTAATATATTTATCATCTCTCCTTAAAAATGGCTGACGAATACTTTTTCGGTGAGTATATTTATTCTGGATATTGTTTTCATATATATTTTCTGTATTTATATCATATTACTTGTGTTTGTAAACATTTTTTGGTAGCCGGTACCAGCCCGCCATTGCACTAAAATTGTTGTTTATTGAGGTTTTTTTTTATATATTTCCAGCGATGACGCTCAAGGGTAAAAATAGTGAAGTATGGGACCCAGAAGCCAAAGGTGCAGAGGATTACCAAGGTGGACATAAACTGATAATCAAACAAGCCTTGTTAGGTCCAGAAGCTACCGATGGTTTGTACAGCTTTATTTTTATAGTTCTGTGAAGATTGGTATTTCAAATTTTTATATATAGCGCCCTGGATATGGTGTAACTTTAACTTTTTTTAGGAGAATTGAATGTTGTACAGGTGGAAGCCATGACATGGAAAGACTCTGTGAAAATTCCAGTGGCTACACTTAAGGCAGGAGGGTCAAACAACCAAGTGTTACTTGACTTGTCATTCCCGGATCCTCCTGTTACATTCTCCCTAATACAAGGTAATGGCCCAGTGCACATTATTGGGCATCACTTAATTGGTACACCAATGGATGAATTTGAGGAAATGGACGAACTTGAAGAAGAAATGTTGGATGATGAGGAAGGAGAAGAGGGGGCTGTAAGTATTCATTCTATGGTGGTTTTCCATATATTTTGAAGATATATTGAAGTGAATCATTGCTAGGCACAATAATATTTCAGTTGGTAATAAGTAGAAAAGAAAACAAGCAAGTTCTTCAAGTCTGATGTCTTGAAAACTTCCATTGGTGGTTTCTGGAAACTTGTATTGTTCATCAAGAATTTTTTTCTCTCAATTTAATCAGAATACTTTCATAGTAATTATTCCATTATAATTTGTTTATTTGTTCACACTTGAATATGGCCTTTGGTTAATTAGTAGTGAAGTGTAACTCAACCAATACAAAATAAGTTTGAATTGTTTCAAAATCAGAAACTTCCAATTAGGCAGAGTAGAACATGATTTCCTGTCTCATTTGGAGGCAAGAGATGTTGTGGATCTGAGGATGGGTTTTTATTTGTAAATGTTTTTTGGTACTTATCATTTTTGTCTGAAAGTAAAACTCAAATTAGATAATGAAAATGTGAACAAACCACTATCAAGATATTTTAATATAAAGTTAGAAATTTAGCCTTCTTTCTACCCCAGTCTTGGATGCATTTACAGCTACTTGCTCTTCTTATTTTGTCATTGGACACTATATACTCATGATGTACTTCATGTACATCATGATACTTCAATGATACATTTTTATATAAAAAATTCAACACAAAATTTTGAAGGATGTTGAACATGCCATTATTTCAAATAGTATTCTTCCTTCTTTTCACTAAATATGGATAAATTGCAAGAAAATCATATTTCTAGTTTACTTCTAGATAAAAAAAATAAGTCAATAGGGCAAATTGTTCTAAATGTGGTCCTAAAGACAGACAGAAAAGGTTTAATTTGTAACTTGATAGTGAAATATCTTGATAAATAATGGTTTGCTCACATTTCCATTATAAAATTCCTGTTTTTCAGGCAAAAATACATATTTACCAAAAAAAATTTGAAAAAAACCCTCCACATGATATGTGCAATTTTACCTAATCTTTCAATTTCTTCAATAACTGATTAAATGAATTGAACTCCACATTCTGAAAATATTATTCAGCACATATACTCATTTCTATTTGTTGTTCATTTTATATGTTGAATGGCAATTATTAAAACAATATATTGGCTAGGTAGATAAATAATGGTTTGTTCACATTTACATTATCAAATTCCTGTTTTTCAGGCAAAAATACATATTTACCAATCAAAATTTAAAAAAAAAAAACCATCACATGATATTGAGAAATGCAATTTTACCTAATCTTTCAATTTCTTCAATAACTGATGAAATGAATTGAACTTCACATTCTGAAAATATTATACAGCACATATACTCATTTCCATTTGTTGTTTGTTGTTTGTTATGTCTGGATCTTGATGACAATTAAAAAAATATATTGGCTATGTAGGCCTATTTTCTATAGAAACATGAATATCATCTGAATTTGAAAAGACTTATCATTTTGCTTTCAAAATGTTTTGCCAATTTCTAAGTGACTGTTACAAAACTCATAAATGTCTTATTTCTGTATGACACTAAAACAAACTTGATTTTTTTGGATGAGTTTCAAAGACAAATAAATGTCAATTTTTTATGGAGCTTGATACATAATTTAATTATTTAAGTTTTTTCCAATTTCTAATTGACAAGTTCTTGAAAACTTGATATAAAGTAATATACATAAAACTTGAAAACTTGATGTAAAGTAAAATACATAAAACTAATAAATTAACCTGTTCATTCTTGAACTTGGTCAGAAGACAAGAAAATTTTTAATTTGATCTACAAAAAACAAATGGGTTTTGCATAGAGCATTGACAGAGAGAGAGGAACAATGTCTTCCCCATCTATCCTTGTCTTCAGTGTTCCAACATAAGGTTATGAAAATTTTATGTTGGCAAAACTGGAAATGAGAAGAAATGGAGAAGATCATTCTTACCTTTTTTAATATTCTTCTCATTTTCTTCTTATTTCTAATGTCACAAACTTGAAATTTCTATTATGTTTATGTTTCTTTGGATCACTGAAGACAAGGACAGATGGGGAAGACATTTTTTTCTCTCTCAATGATAGCTGAACTTGCTCTATTGAATCCTTCCTAAAGTGTTATTTATAAAAAGTGGTTTTTGGTCAGTTTTTAAAAATATTGGGGTAGTCTAAATTTTTTCTGGGTCATATATACAGGTTGTTTCAGATCTTGATCAGGAAAGTTCATGGACTAATTTTATAATTTTTTTTTGAATCTGTTCTAATTTTTTTCTATATTATCAACAAAATACAGAGGGGTTCAGATATTTTTCCCAAATGAAATTATCTATATCTCTATATATTTTACCATAATTCAATGAAGCTTTTGTTGTGAATTCAAAAATATCTAATTATGAAAATATATAGTTCATATACTGGGCGTAACAGGATCATAGTACACCCCCTGTATCTCCGTTAGATTTGAAGGTAACTGATTACAAATTAGGATATCTCATGTATATAATGAGGAGCACTTTTTGACCCTCAAGTTTTTTTTTTTACTTCCGCTTTCACCGGAAGTTATACCAACTTTCGATTTTCAAATGGAACACCCTGTATATTATGACATTTCTGAAATCTGCCTGATTCTCTGGAGCCAATAATACCATACAGGTGTGTCATGATCATGATGGATCAGATTTATTTGATTTGACCCATCTTATGCCAGGTATATCTAAATCCTGTGGAATATACACGGTGTTCCATTTGAATATCGAAAGTTGATATCACTTCCGGTGAAACTGGAAGTGAAAAAAAAACATTTGTGGGCAAAAAGTGGCCCTTATTATCTTCATAAGATATCCTAAATTTCAATCAATTACCCGCAAAACTAACGGAAATATGGGGGGGGGGGGTGTACTATGATCCTGTTACACCCGGTATTATTATCGCATAAAATTTAGATCATTTCATTTGAAAAACAACATTTTTTAGCCATCCTGCATTTTGTTGATGTGAAGAAAAAGTAAGCACAGATTCAACAAATTCGTAAAAGTCTCTGAATGACCAAAATATGTTGAAAATTCTGAGGATAAAGGAGGGGGGTGACACATTTAAGTGGGACACCCTGTACACTAACGGTTTTGGAAACAAAAATATTGTTTTATTCCCACTAAAACCAGTACTATCAAGATTTGCAAAAAAAATACAGGGTGTCCCATTTAATTGAAAAAAGGTTTAGTGTATTTCCGGTCAAATCGGATGTACATTTTCAACAAAAACCATCACATCAAATGCATCTTGTGCTATTGTACTTGACTGCAAAGTTTCATAAATTTCGTCCTTTTCTCTTCAAAGATATTTACTTGGTTCCATACTTTATCCCAACCCTCTATGCAACAATTTGTAATGTTATCTTGAAGCTTCCTTTTTCATCTCTGGAAATTGGATACAAAATTGTAGGTACAGCTTGCTGCATTGTGCATAAATCAGTCTGAATACGGGGTGATTCTTCAAGGTGGCTCACCACTAACTATACTATTATAGTTCAATTTACATTGCTTTGCCATACTTCCGGTTTCACGAAAAATTAGTCCAACTTTCGATTTTTGAATGGGACATCCTGTATATTTTTACTGATTTCGAGAGAGAATGTCATTGAAATTTTACTTGAGAGAAAGCTCTGTCTCAAGAAGCCGACGAGCCCACCCCCTTACCATTTGAAAAAAATCAAGATAACTGGAAAAATTCGTATTTGCAAATAATTCTTAAAACGACTGTGAAATCATCAGCCTCTGAAGGTGGATTCATGCAAGCAAAATTTAAAACTTGAATGAATTTTAAACTCAAACCAATAATGTAAGACTATGAAATGTAATGTAGGTGCTCATGCAAGAAACTTAAAAATCAGAACTAAAATAAAAACTAAGAAAGATGGCCAACATTCAGCCAATAAATTAATTTCTTCCATAATTCGACACAGCGCATGCGCCAAATAATAACTAGCCGCGCTGGAACAAGATTGAACAGCTGATGAAAGGTTATTGCATAAACACCCATATATTTTTAATTCAAAATTCGTTTCTTGAATTCATTATAATTTAGTTAATGGTGCATGAATCCACCTTAAGGTCCTTAAGTCATATTTTTTTCAAAGTTATTTGATCAAGAATGTAGCGATTTACAAGATCCATGGCATTCTAGAACGAAAAATAAAAATCTGTATAAATCTGACGTTTATCTAATATTGGCCAATAGAAATGGGGTGTTATGATTTAGAATATCAGTCTCGATCGAAAGAAGTAAAATTTTATAGGATGTCCCATTTAAAAATCGAAAGTTGGGGATAATTTCCGCTCGGACCGGAAGTACGGCAAAGCAAGTGAACGTCAAAAAATGTAAATTGAACTATAATACAATCATAACCCCCTAATTTCGTTTTCTATCTATAATAAAAAAAAAACTGAAAATATGACAGATAAATTTTTTTCCCACTTTTCACTTTTTCACATGAGAGCTTGTTCAAAACAATTGCAACCTTATGACAAATTTTTTGTCGTACTTAGTTAACTTGAAATTTTATTTAATGGGAATTTTGTTTGTCACATTTTCTAAAGGCAACAAAACTCGAATTATAAATTTCAATTGGTTTTTTCAATTTCTCTACTCACAGACTCCAAATCGCTACATTCCACAGATTAGATACTTTTGTGACAACTCAAAATTTAGAAAAAATTTACATAAACGCCATCAAGATTCGTTCACAATTGAAGGGGCAAGTGGAAGAAGGGATCAAGTATCATTTTCTGAAAATATTCGGTTATGTCATGGAAGAAGGTGTTATGTAACTTGCCCTGTCAGGATTTGTTTCTATTCGTCATATCTGAGCAGATATACAGTGGTAGAAGGGGCTATGTTACATTAAATATCAAGGATGCAATCTAAGAAGGAGCTATGTGCCCATTGCCTACATGTCAGAAGGGGTTATGTGCCCATAAATCCAGATGTTTATCAAAAAACCATAAGGCAGCAA